AAAATTAAACGAGCCGAAGGCGAGCCGGAGGTTCTCTCGCGCCGGAGGCGCCGTGCCACACGACGACGTACAACGCACCATGCGAACCAACACACACTTCGACCTATGTCCCCCCTTCAAGATGTTTATGAAAATTAAACGAGCCGAAGGCGAGCCGGAGGTTCCCTCGCGCCGGAGGCGCTGTGCCACACGACGACGTACAACGCGCCGCACGAACCAACACACACTTCGACCTATGCCACCCCTTCAAGATGTTTATGAAAATTAAACGAGCCGAAGGCGAGCCGGAGATTCACTCGCGCCGGAGGCGCCGTGCCACATGACGATGTACAACGCGCCGCACGATTGAATGATTCTGGAGATTGCTTTTTTACATTAAAAAGTTGCTTTTTTTTTCTTTACTTGAAAGGTGACATTTGATAGTGTTGGTAGTCCCCGCCTGTAACTACCCCATAAATCTTCATTACCCAGAAATATAATGGAAACAAAAAGGGAAACGGGAAAGGGAAAAAGGGAACCAACCGCGCGAACCGGTATTTTTTTTTGTGTTTTCGCGCGAAAAGGGAAAACAGAAAATTCAGGTGGTTTGAGGGTCAAACTGCAAAACGCACCAAACCACAAACCGGAAAGGGAAAACCGGGAACCAACCGCGCAATTGGTTTTCCCTTGCAGGAGCGCTCCGCGCGCGACACTTGTCACGCGTGGCGCGCTCCCGAACCGCTCATTACGAGCCCTATTGCGGCATTTCTAAAAAAAGATGATGTGACACCACGCGACTCCCTGATGGCCATTGAACTCTACCCTGAAAAGAAGAAAAGAAAAATGCACAGAGTCGGAGATCTAGTTGTAAAGTATGGATTATTCATAGGTGTTTGAAGAACCAAATCCTCAACCATGTAAAAATAGACACAACTGTTCCAAGGCAGAGCAGAAGCTTCACCTTTTCCCCAGATATGCAAACCCCGGTGGCAAGCACACTCTATGGAAAAATGTGTGGCATGCAAATGTGAAGCAACGCAGCCCAAGACCATTCCGCACACCGCCCACGCTGCCAGCCTGGGCCCGCATGGCCGGCTGCCTATAAGGCAACGGCCAGTGCGACGGGGCCCCACCAGGCAGGAAGCAGCAGAGAGAGAATTCAAATTCCAATTCCTCGGTGTCTCCCCATTCCCCAACACCACCAGTCCACCGCCACCGCCACCCAATCCGTCGCTCTCCTCCCCGCCGGCGATCGCCGCCGTCGCCCTCCTCGGCGGGGCGCCGCTCCGGGACCGGGCGATGAAGCTGAAGATCAACAAGGCGTGCGACATCGCCTCCATCTCCGTCCTCCCTCCCCGGTACGGCCCCCCCCGCCCAGGCCGATCCCCTCCCCTCTCGCCGCCGGCTGCTCGCGTTCGTTCCGACGCGTGCTTGGTTTAATTCGTGCTCGTGGTGTGTTTTGTTGGTGGTGCAGGAGGACCGGAGGGAGCAGCGGTGGCGGTGGCGGGATGAGCGCGCCTGCTGCTGCTTCCGCGGCGGCGGCGGCGCAGCAGCAGCGGTCCCAGTCCATGTCGCAGAAGTCCTTCTCGCAGGGAGGAGGAGGAGGCGGCGGCCCGTTCTCGCAGGGCGTCGGCGCGTCCTTCTCGCAGGCCATAGGCAGCGGTGGCGCGTCCTTCTCCCAGGCCAGAGGCGCGTCCTTCTCGCAGGGCAGCGGCACCGGAGACGCCGCGTTCTCTCAGGTCGGTGGAGGCGGAGGCGCGGCCTTCTCTCAGGGCGGTGGAAGCGGAGGCCCCGCGTTCTCTCAGGCCGGCGGAGGCGGAGGCGCGGCCTTCTCTCAGGGCGGTGGAGGCGGAGGCGCGGCCTTCTCTCAGGGCGGTGGAGGCGGAGGCGCGGCCTTCTCTCAGGCCGGTGGAGGCGGAGGCGGAGGCGCGGCCTTCTCTCAGGCCGGTGGAGGCGGAGGCGCGGCCTTCTCCCAGGGCGGTGGAAGCGGAGGCGCGTCCTTCTCCCAGGGCGGTGGCAGCGCGCCGCTCGTGCACGCGCAGTCGCAGCTCTCGCAGGCCTCCCTCGACGCGAACCTCCTCAGCCTCCTCTCGCAGGCTCCCGCGCGCGACCAGGTCTCGTATACATCATCCCTCCTTCTTCTCCAATTGTCGCCACTGTGTGGTGATCCATGATCGAGGCCGCGTTTGCTTCTACATCGAATTGATTGGTGTTGGTTACTGTTAATTAGTAGTAGTTTCCACTGAATCCGCTTGTGATTGGTTAATCTCTGAAGCGGCCATTTCATCGATCTTGTGTTTAGTCACAGTAGCGTGGCAACGAATTGATTAGTGCTGGTTACTGTTAATTAGTCGCTTCCAGTGAACCCACTTGTGCTTGGTTGATGCGTGGAAGAAACAGTTCAAATCTCTGCAGTGGCCATGTCATTGGGCAAATTAGTGAACTAAGTGTTATTGCTTGATATCTCAATTTGGTGCACGCGAGCCGAGCATTCATGTAGTGCATTACTGAAAGTGTTAGGGGAACGACACCCATGTGATCTTTTTCTGCTAGACTGTATGAAATGGTGATTTTGATCTGTATGATTTGTCAGAATTGACGCCGTTCTGTGCACAGTCAGTATGCAGTTACGATTTATTCATATTCGTCAATGCAGAGGGAATGCCCAAACCAACTGTTCTTATCCTAATAAATGTTTGAGTGAGAACAGCTATGTTTTTTGTTATACTTGCTGGTTACAGAAGGTGGATTCCTTAAAAAAAAGTTATATAATGTGCACACTGTTTATCTGCTGCCAAATTGTGATCTTCATTCTCCTTCCTTTGGTGACCAGAGATTTGCCTTGGAACAGGACTCGTCGAAGAGGACATCTTCATATCCTGCCAGTTCAGCTTCTTGTGTGCGCGAGGAATCTCAGCTGCAACTGACAAAGATACCAACCAACCCTATCCACCGCTGGAGCCCCTCTCTTCCGGATAGCAGATGTAAACTCAAGCCCTTGCACCTGATAGAATTTACATTTTATCCATTTTTCTTTTGCGGGAAATTACATTTCATTCATGGCCATAACACCAGTTCACATGCTCTTCAAGCACACTGATTTTGGTGTTCTGAATAGGTTCGCAAAAATTCTCTCATTAACTGGGCATATAAGGTCAAATAGTGCATGCTTTGAACAGATAGTGCACCTGAAGCTGTTCTAAACGTAGACTCTAGATTTTATTTTAAGCTGTCACATTGTCATGATATACCTGGAAATATACTTCGACTAAAGTGCCCAGTTGATGTTGTTTCGACAGGTCAGGTTAATGAGGAAGTTGAGCGCAAGTTTCAGCATCTGGCAAGTTCAGTACATAAGATGGGAATGATATTAGACTCGGTGCAAAATGATGTGATGCAGTTAAACAGAGCCATGAAAGAGGCATCACTAGACTGTAAGTCACCCCCTAATTGGTACTTTTGATCAATATATGGGCGATCGTAATTGCTGCTATTTCTTCATGAGTTTTGCACTCTAATTCTGTTAGATCCCACAAATAGTACATCATCGACTAATGAGAGCATGTATTCTCTTTGTTCAGCTGGTAGCATTCAGAAAAAGTTTGTGCTCCTAGAGGACTCTCTAAAGCAAATTGTAAGGATAGTTGCTGGTTCAGTCCTTTTTTTGCTTCTTCTTTTTGCTGAGGCAACAAGGTTTAATTAATCCAAACGTGGTACCACAGCTTAAGGGACAAGATGATCTCAAAGCAGTCCTTGAAGGAATCACAGAAAGAAATCCTGACCAACTGAGTGTTCTCAACTCTCTCGCCAGCAAACAGGATGAGATGTCCTCGTTACTTTCAGTCTTGCCAAAGCATGTGCAAATAGAACTGGGGCAACTGAAGGGTGACATCAGCAGAATTTTCTCAAAGGAGATAGAGGTACTACTGCTAAGATCAACCACTAGCTTTAGGTTCACTTGTGTTTGGGAATTATTCTGATGTGCATATGAGTAATTATCTTACCTTGCTGATTTACCACCATGTAAAATTCTCCCTTATGTCCATATGTGTGAGTTTAGTTTCTATGAAGGCATATAAGCTGGTTCATACCATTTTCTTCTATATCTTATTTTTCTTTCAGGAAGCGTAATTCCGTTGTCTATTCATGATATCTAACACTAAAAATTCACAGTCTACACTAGGGCTTATTTTTTTCAGCATTTTACTCTGAAGTTAAAGGATTGCTTCTGAAGAACATGCACAATCTTGTAGTATATCATGTGGCATGCTAAGACCCCATCACTTCACATACTAGAGTAAAGCAACTAATGTTGGTTTTGCTGACCTTTGCCTATTTGGACAGGGGATAGTTAGAGCTGTTGATACTAGGCTTGACCGGATGCAAATGCTGGCAGTACGTGTACTTGTCGCTCAACTAATCGAATTAACAAGCCTTTCAGTACTTTTCTCCTCTTATTCTATTTCCCTTTCTTTGCTGAAGAACCAGAGCTGCACCACCAATGCAAAACCCCTGATGAACCAGACAAGTGTAACAAATGGAAGCCCCCTGATGAAGCAGACACCAGCAGCAGATGGAAGCACCCTGGTGAACCAGACAAGAGTAGCAGATGGAGGCCCCCTGATGAACCAAGGACCAGTAGCAGATGAAATCCCCCTGATGAACCAAGGACCAGTACCAGATGGAAGGCCGCAGAAGAAACAAAGACCAGTAGCAAATGGAAGGTCCCAGAGGAAGGAACAAACACCAGTAGCAAATGGAAGGCCCCAGAGGAAGAAACAAAGACCAGTAGCAAATGGAAGGCCCCAGAGGAACCAAAGACCAGTACCAAATGGAAGGCCCCAGGTGAAGCCAACAAAAACAGCAGATGGAAGCTCGCAGATGAACCAGAAACCCGAAGCAGATGGAAAGGCCCTAATGAACCAAGTACTAGCAGTAACTCAAGCGTAATCTTCTAACCTCAGCTCCTTATACAGATCCAAGTTGTTAGATAACTAGTACTATGCATTGCTGTAGTATGGAGCATCAGATGTGAAAATTGCCTTGATGAAAAATCGAAACGCTGACTGAACCTATAAATGCCGACATCCTCAAGAGGAAAGCTGCAAGATATTCTTATGTGCAGGAGGATCTTGTGATAAGATCCTTCTCATTTTCTTTTGCTGCAAAGCTAGTTAGTTCTGGCCTTTGAAATGTTGAAATGTCCTCTTGAGATTTGGTAATTAAAACGCTTGTACAGTAGATCGTTATCTCCGTTTTGACAGCAAGATCAGATTGGTGTGTTTTCAGTTATATTGCTAACTAAAGTCCCTTCACTTTTCTGAATATGCATCTGCCTTTGCTTTAGTCTTCCCTGTTCCTGCTTGGTTTGAGATTCTACTACTAATTAGGCTTGTTTGTCTGTCAGTGCCAGTGCTCCTGCGCCCTTGGCTTATCAGAGGAAGACAGAAGGTGTGAAGCCAAATGTGGAAAAGGGGATGGCAAAGGCCGCCACAGGTGCACAGGAATTGGGTAGCTCAGGCGACAGCAGTCCGGCGCCACCTAAAGAGCAAGAGTTGGCGATTCAGAAGGACAATGAAGAGGCACCAGTCAACAAGGTAACTCGCGCCGCAACCTTGCTCATTTCTGGCTCGACTGAACAACTGTAAAATGTTAATGGCTCAAGGCCGACACCGCTGAATTGTTATTATTTACCCTTAAAGAAGAGCATCACTGATTAAGCGAATCATTTTGTGCTGAAAGAATAACATGACTGATTAACCGAATCATTTTGTCCTGAAAGAAGAACATGACTGATTAACTGAATTTGCTTGAGCATGCTTGGTGCTGCTGCTTCACGAATGCTCTGTAGTTTGCCCCCGTGGATTAAGCAAGTGAAGTAGAACAGTAGGTTAAACGAGTCAAGTTGTTCCTGCGGTTATTGACTGTGTTTGCGATGATGATGATGATGATGATGGCTGTTGCGGATGGAAAACAATGCAGGCGATGTTGACCATTGTCATCGACTCGGACGACGACGAGGAGGGGGGTGGCAGCGCCGGGAGCGCGTCATGCGTCACGCTGAAGGCCGAAGCAGGTAGAGCCAGCCAGCCGCTGAATTGAACTGAACTGAACTGAACTGAACTGAACTGAACTTCCTTTCTCCCTCTACAGTCTACACTACTGAGAAGTGTAAACACATGTGATGTGACAGTGACTGTATGTCTGGTGCAGGTGGTGCGGTGGCGGAGGCGGCGATGGGCGAGGGGGAGGCGCTGGAGATCCTGCGGCGGGCGAGGAAGCGCCGGCGGAGGGAGGGGGCCAACGCCGTCGTGCTCGACCACTGCTAGACTGTTTATTTAGTACGTAGCAGCAACCCAACGGTAACGATTGGCGTACAGATACAGACAGAGGTGGGTCGACAGACAGTGTTTTAAGAAGATAACAGAGGTTAGGGGGCGTACAGATCAGAGAGGGAGAGGTGAAAACTTACCACACAGCGAAGGGGAGATGTTCACGCAGAGAGGTGGGTCGACAGACAGTGTTACAGTGCACGCAGAGACACAGAATGCAGATATATTTCTGCCTGCTGTTACGGTGCCATTACTATTACAATCTCCGAAATGGGCTTTCGCCCCGCTTTATAGATAAAGCATAAGTCCATACAACCACATCTCAGGTACAGTCAGTAAGAAAGGAGAAAACGCTAGGGCCACAGCACAAAGAAGCCCAAAAGAAAGGAAAAAACAAAGGCCTCCAGGGGCAAGCTAAGTAGCAGACGAGCGGTCGGAGAGCCGGCGCGCAGAAGACACCAGGGCGTCCAAGAGAAGCTGAAGACGATCACGATCCCTCGGCCTAGCGAGCGGATGGCAGTGCTGCAGGAAGGCAAGAAATTTGAAGAACGAGTCAAAAGCACGCCGCGGGAACACCCGCTCAATCACCATCTTATTGCGGGTAGTCCAGAGAGTCCACATCATAGCCGCGAAGATAAACCAGAACAGTCGGCGCTTACGGCCAACCTGGGTGGCCCTAACCTGCAGAAACCCTGCGAGGTCAGTGGCCTCCCACTCCGGCCCAAGAGCCTCACGAACAAAGCACCAAAGTGCCTGCGCTGCTATGCACGAGAAAAGAATGTGTGTTCCCGTTTCCGGGACATGGCACAAAGGGCACAGTCCATTGCCCGGACCATGGCGCTTCAGCACCTCGGTCCCTGAAGGGAGACGATCTCGAAGAAGCTACCAAACAAAAATCTTGATCTTCAAAGGTAGCGGTGCCTTCCACAATGGGGATAGCCACGGTAGAATCGGCAGCCTACATAATGCCTGATAAGCCGAACTAACGGAGAAATCGCCCGAAGGCGAAAGGCTCCACGACACCGAATCAAGGTCCAGGGACAGAGGAAGAGGGACTACTTCCCTCAGGTCTGCCCATTCCCTGACCTCAGCAGGTCCGAAGGAGCGGCGGAACGCAATGTTCCATCCGTCCTCCAGAGCCGCCTCAGAGACTAGAATGCCCGGGTCCGCACAGATCGCAAAGAGACGCGGGAACCGTAGGCGGAGAAGCTCGCCCTGAAGCCAGGGGTCCAACCAAAATTGGGTCCCTGACCCATTGCCAACCGAGAAGCGCACACCCAACCTAATCTCTTCCTTGATGGCCTGAATAGATTTCCAGAATTGAGAACCAGCCGACTGAGAACACGCCAAGAGGGGCTGGCCCTGCAAGTATTTGGCCTCAACCAGCTGCAACCACAGCCCCCCATCTCCCCGCAAGATCCGCCAAACCCAACATAGCATGAGCGCCACGTTCATCCGGCGGGATGCGGGTATGCCCAACCCACCTCGGTCCTTAGGCATACAGATGTCAGCCCACTTGACCATGTGGTACTTGGGCCGACCGTCCCCTGCCTGCCAAAAGAACCTAGCCAGCTCCTTGTCGAAGGAGCTATGTACACCTTCAGATAAGATGTACATCCCCATCATATACATGGGGAGGCTGGCAAGGTTAGAGCTAATGAGGATAGTTTTGCTGCCCTTAGAGGTGAACCTACCGCACCAGGGCTCCGCACGGGACGCTACTCGCCCCACTAGCGGATCGTACCCACTCACTGTAATACTGGACTCGGCCAGGGGTATCCCCAAGTAAGATATGGGGAATGACGCCAACCTACAGTTGAGATTATCTGCGATCCGAAGCTGCTCAGCCTCAGAATAGCCAAGTACCACCACCTCGCTCTTATCAAAGTTAATCTTAAGTCCAGACATTTCCTCAAAGCAGAGCAAAAGGAACTTAAGATTAACAATGTCAGAGTCCGAACCTTCCACCATAATCATGGTGTCGTCCGCATACTGCAGGTGAGTAACCCCCCCCCCCCATCCGGGACGAGGTGGCTAACAACACCCTTAAGGTGGTCGGCCAACTTGGCCTTATCTAAGATGCCCGCAAGGGCATCAACTGCGAGATTGAAAAGCAAGGGAGAAACAGGGTCCCCTTGCTTTACTCCTCTGGATGCCTGGAAAAAGGGTCCCACCTCACCATTAATGTTGATCGCAGTGTTCCCAGATCTAACCAGTTGCATGATCCAGGAACACCACCTCACGTCGAAGCCTCGTCGCTCCATCACCAACCTCAAAAAGGACCAATCCAGACGATCATACGCCTTCTGGAAGTCCAATTTGAGGAAAACCCCCTTGAGCCCCTTCGACGCCACCTCGTGAACGATCTCGTGAAGGGCAAGCATTCCATCATGGATCCGCCGGCCCTTCAGGAAGGCGGACTGAAGGGGGTGAGCAATCCTTTCCGCCACCGGTGATAAACGAGTGGCACAAACCTTTGCAAAGATTCGCTCCAACACGTTGATCACCGTGATCGGTCGGAATTGGCGGATATCCGTCGCCCCAACTACTTTGGGGATCAGGGATATGACACCGAAGTTAATCCTAGCCATGTCCAAGGTTCCAATATAAAACTCGTGGAACATGGGCATAATGATCGGGCGCAAGATCTCCCAGAATTTCTGAAAGAAGACTACCGGAAGGCCATCCAGCCCCGGGGCTGAGCAGGCTTTCATAGAAGCAATCACCCGTCCCACCTCCTTAGGAGAGAAAGGGAGAGTAAGCTCCGCATTCTCCGCATCAGAGACCTGCTCTGCAGGCGGCCAGAAGTCAGCACAGAGGGAGACGCCTCCACGCGGCTCAGCCGAGAACAACTCCTTATAAAAGGAGTAAATATGGGTGGAGATGTCCTCTGGGCTTTCCAGAAGGACATCCCCATCCCAGAGAAAAGGGATAGCACACTTTCGCCTGCGGCCATTAGCAATCGCCTGAAAATAGGCAGTGTTCGCATCCCCCTTAAGGAGCTAGTTCCAGCCCCCACGCCGCTGCCAGAAGAGCTCCTCGCTCTTGTAGATGTCCATGAGCGAGGCCTCGAGGCCGTATCTCCTAAGCCAGTCGTCAGGAGACAGGCCCTGCCTATCAGCAAGGTCATCCAAAACCTTAATCTGATCCAGCAGGGTCCCCTTACGGGATCGCAGCTCAGCACCAAGGTTCGCCCCCCATCCCTTCATGGCCTGACGAGACAATTTAGCACGGTGATGCCACACATCCACAACACAAAACACACGGGGCGGGGACGCGACCGCCTCTAGCCAGCGGTCGCGCACCAACTCAAAGAAGCTCGGCTGCTCCAGCCAAAAAGTCTCAAAGCGGAAACGGCGGGTCCTAGGGGGAGACACATCGCCCGACGAGAAAAGCAGGGGGGTATGGTCGGAGCCAATCCGAGTGACCGCCTTGAGAGAGCACAATGGGAACATCACTTCCCACTGAGCCGACACAAATACCTGATCCAAAACACTCCGGATGGGGTCCGCCTGCTTATTCGTCCACGTGAACCTAGCCCCTACGCGGGCTATCTCACGGAGCGCAAGGTCCGCAATGCAGTCGTTAAATAGACGCATGCGGACCCGATCAACATTAGGCGAGCTTTTATCAGAAGCCCATCTAATGAGGTTGAAGTCCCCGGCCACCACGACCGGGGTGGTGCACCTCTCTACCTTATTTTTAAGCTCAGCGAGGAATACGGCAGAGCGAGCATGCTCCGCAGGACCATAAACAAAAATCACCTCCCAACTGAAGTGAACTCGTCGGTCAGTGACAGACATGCTCAGGAAGAACTCCCCTCGGTTCATATCGTCGACCGAGAAAGCATCCTCCCTGACCCCGAGCAAGATGCCTCCAGATTGACCCATAGCGGGCAGCCACTGCCAGGCAAACTGGTGGCGGGAGAGCCCCTGGAGCTCATGCATACTAAAGTCCTGACGAATCGTCTCCTGAAGTCCCACAATGTCAATCTCTTCCTGTCGCAAATATTCGATGAGCTGCCGCTGCCGGCCAGAGAGGCCGAAGCCCCTAATGTTCCAACGTAGGAGCTTCATTTAATAACCTCAGTGGAATCCCTAGGCCCCGCAAGCGGGGCCAAGCTAGCCCGCCCATCAATCGCGGGTCGGGGGGATGCCTTCACTGAGCGTCCACGTCGCCCCCGCGTAGGGGGGGCGGTGGAAGCCTCCGGCCCGAGGGAAGCGGACCTGGAACTAGACCCACACACCTCTATCCGGTGTTCAGTGGGGTTGAGACGTGTGGGGGGCGCCCTCGCAAAGCCCTCACCGAGGGGGGAACTGCAAGGGGCGTCTCTGCCCCAGTCTCCATAGGGGGCGCCTCACCAGCCCTGGTCTCTCTATGACCAGGGTCAGTGTGCACCGGGGTGCTGGGTTCACCACGCGCAGCACAAGCACGGGCTTCAGCCAACGCCCCATCGAGCCTCTCCTTGGCGCAAATAGCAGAAATCTGCTCAAGAATGGGCCCCTTCTCGCCACGAAACACAATGCCACTATCGGTGGCCACCTCTGCCAGGTGAGACAACGGAGCGAAACCAAGCACAGAAAACCAAGAACCAGAACTAGAAGGAACAGAGGGGATGGATGGGGTACCTGAGGACAGGTCGCGAGCTGCAGCCCACATGGCGGCCTTCTCCGAGATCGTCGGGACACGGCCATCCAGGATGACCCAGGACTGGCTGAGCCTCGCACTCTGACGCGCAGCCACCAGGGGAGAGGACCCACCCCAAAGCTT